TTTGTAATTTAACAAAATAGGGAAAATCTATAAACAACAGTAAATTGTTCAAAAACATTATGGTAACCCAATAAAAAATATATATATATATTTTTAGAGTGTATCATAGATTAACACAGGAAGCTGTTGCTATAAAACAAACATGAAGTGCAAAATAAATTCCAACATTTATAAAAGAAAGCAGGAAACATTCTGATCATATTTCTTTCTCATTTTGTTTTTCATCAGTTCTGGTTTTAATATTGACGCTGCATGTGTCCCAACATCCCACACTGTGGATTTTCTCCAAATACGTTGAACTTTTTGTGGCATTTACATCCGATTTCACCTCCAAAACACACTAACTGGACTTTACAGTGACTTATTTCAGTGTGCAGACAAAACTACATTTATTCCCTTGAGTTCCAAAAGCAGATCTTATTATTAGCTCAGCGTGAAGACTAGAAACTGGAGGAAACCGCTAATCTGACTCTGACCAAAGATAAGCTTTTCTCCCCATCAGCACCTCTGAAGCTCACTAATTAATACGTCACGTCTTGTTTGTTTAATGTGCAAAAACTGAAGCATGAAAACAACAAGTTGTCGCTTCAGATTCAACATACAGATACTAGAAAAGCATCAAGAAAACAACGTCCTCCACCACATCCGTCCGTCCCTCGAACAGATCTGATGGTTTCCGCGTAAATTTCCTAATTGAAAAGCGTAATCGCGAGTGATTATTCTGCGGCTCAAATGAAATAATTAGACCGAAGAATAATCTAATTAGCCCGTAATCAACAAAAACCCACTGTTAAAAAGGGAGACGCTGGGCGACGATGTGTGTGCAGAGTCACCAAAAAGCAGAGAATCTCTCTCTGAACAGAGGTGGATGAGACGAGTGCATCCACCTGTGGTCTGCTAATCATCTATGACACAGATCTGCGATAAGCCTATCAGCATGTTGATCAGCAGAAACCTCGTTAGCAGCCGCTCTGGACGGATTCATTTACAACAATGTAGCACCGATGCGGCTTAATAACCCGGCGTAGTGTTACACCGAGTCCCATTTTCCCTTCTCCCACCGCTGCCGTCGTTCAGACTATTTCAGGGGGTAGTCTTAATTAAAACTGGAGGTCTTCTTCCGCCGCCTCCTTTCGGTGAATCCTCTATTAAAACTCCTGTGATGTCAGCTCAGTGAGCGGACAGGTGGTCGGAGAGACTGGCCTTCACCCGCACGACCCGGCTTGTCAGCCAGCATCTGCTGAAGTGTCATTGAGCAAGACATCTTCCTCCCCCACCTTCACCACCTCCCACAGCTTCGTGGCCGCTGACCTTCCACCTCCTCCCCCCCTCCATCAGAGAAGGTGGACTTCCTTGTTAGATCAACGCAAAGACCGTGTTGTTTATCTTCACATGCAAAGTGAAAGACAGCGTTATGAGATGAGACAAAGCTGCTGAGTCCTTCTAGTCAAAACTGCATTTCACTTTGTAGTTTTTAATGATGATTTGTGAGCATAGACTGAATTTAAAGACGAACAAACCCTCATTAATTCTCTGCAAATCCAAAAATGAGCAATTGGGTCATTCTGCCTCAGATGCTCCACGTCTGACCATCTTCAGTTTCACGGGGTTTCTTTTTAAAAGTGGTGAATATTGATTAAGTCAAACATGTCACATCTGGCCTCATATTCATTTTTAAGTTAAAAATTCTTAAAGACGGTGCGTTTATGTTGATTATTGTGAAGCACGGTGGTGGCAGTATCATGCTGTGGATCAGTGTTTGAAGGGCCATAACTTGAGAAATAATGTAGCTAGAGTCCGGCTCGTTGCTGTGTACATATAGACTTCAATGGTGCAACCCTGCTTTGATAGAATAATACAAACCAGTTGCATGACGGTGCAAATTTGGCCGAAACATGTCAATATTTCCACCCACTCTGATAGATGGAGGAGGTTCTGTTGCTCTTCAGCTCTGGCAAACCAAACATTGGAGGTAAAATACATTACTACTAATGCACCAACGTGGCGATGTTGATACAGAAACCAGCTTTAGAACTCCTTAGAACACAGAGCGATGTACCTGCTGCTAATAGGCTTGATTAGCATCGTGTGAACTCATTTGGTAAAAAGCTCAAATGTATTGGACGTTCTTTCCCCATGTTGTTCCACGCTCTGACTCTGACATCAGGCGGTTTTATAGGGATGAACAATATATCAGCGACCACATCGGTATCAGCCGATATTAGGGTTTTTTCCAATATATCAGTACTGGACCGATGATTGTCTAACGTTAGCGCCTTCGTCTCTACATTTGATATTGCTGCTGTTTCACAGATGTTTTAATTAAATGATCCTGGACTTGAATGTTAAATATGTTTAAATGTGTTTTACTTTGGTTACGTAATAAAGAAGACTATGTGGTCTCATTTGGGCTTCTTTTGAAAAGTTTTCACGTTCTCACAGTGCTTACTGATACTCATTTATTGGTGTGAGCAAAAATTGAATATCGACATCGGTAGTATTGGTTATTGCCGATATCAGAAATCTTCATATCGGATATCGGTATCGGCCAGAAACTTTAATATCGTGCATCCCTAGTTTAAAGCAGTGGTTCTGTTGGGTAGTTTGATAGCGAAGATGTCTTAAGCCAGGTACCTTGAACTAGTACAGGGATGTAAAGATGAGTTCTACTTCAGGGCATCGGATTCTCGGTATCAGACGGTTGCAGGAAAGAAGACGCGCCGATCGCATAATTGAAGCTGCAGAAAAGGTCCGTTTGGACACAAGCCGGGAATTGATCACCCCTGACCGGGTCGCATAGGTCTAATGATCTAAGACCTGAAATAGACCCTGGGTTCATCATCGAGGATGTGTCGAAGTCGTGCCGTCCGGTGTTTGCATAAACAAACGTGACGCGCCGTGGAGACTTTTAAATGTGACTCAGTCGGATGAAAAACGACTCCCCTGGTTGTTCTCCAGAAACCTTTGGGTCTCGTTTGACTCCCAGTTGTCACTTATTTTCCGCTAAGAGACGCTGCCAAACTACGTGCCTTCTTATCTTTCCAACAGCTTGAACAAATCATCCATTGTTTGGTCTCCTCACGTCCAGACTATTGTAAAGCTCCGCTGCACGATTACCAACAAAAACAACCGCTGGTTCTGGCTGCAGCTCTCTGGTTCAGAGTGAATAAATCAGGGTGACAAAACAAAGCTTTCTGCCCTCATTTGTTCTTATTGTTTAACTAATTACGCTCGTCTTTGACGTAGGTATTTATTGTGATGCTGGTAAGGTGCTATTTGAACTCACTTACACTCACTGTTTGTAAAGAAATAGACGCATTCTGTTCAAGATTCGTCATCCAATATGTAGAAAAAGATGTGACTTTTCTTTATATATCCAACAGAAACTAACTTATAAAACTCTCCAAAGTCATGAATATTAGCAGCATTAAAGCCATCATCATTAATCACTGCCCAGAGGTAAAAATGGGAATTTTATATTAAACTCTTAGTGCCCGAAGCAGTTTCTGTTTAGTCACATTTTATTTTTCTGTTGTTTGATTTTCTTTTCAGTCGCTCTTCTCGTTTCCTCTGTTTTCTCTGGAAACGCCGCCAGAAGTTCAGCCGAAAACAGAATTTTTGACTGTTGGTCACAAGTCAGTCACGACTTCATAGTCGTGCAGAGGAACACAGAATTCTTGTTTTTTTATGGAATAATTTTAAAACTTTGGAAGAGTTCTGTAGACTGAAGTGATTTTAATAAAATATTGTGATTTTAAAACTCTCATGTTGGTGGGTTTTGGAGTCCAGCAGGTTAAAGCATCATCACTTTAATAACATAGTAGAATAAAATACTTTATGCAACTGAGTGCTTTTAATACTTTGAGTGCAAAAAATAAAATGGTGCCAACTTTTTTATATGAACAAACTTAAAACTTGGGATTTTGGACCATGCAGTTAGACGACATTAAATTTGGAGGTTCGAGGAGTGTGTGGCTCCTGTCAGGCTTTGTTTCACTGCAACATGAAGTCCTGCACCTCCATGGAAACACACAACCATGACTAGACGTAGAGGGAACTTAAAAATATGTAGATTGTGTGTGACACAGTTAAAATGCCACAAATCTGGAAAAAAATAAAAAATTAAAAGTTGTTTCTTTTTTTTGACAAAAATATAAAAAAATAGAATCAACATGTACAACATTTTTCTGAGTGCCCACAGGTGTCACCAACACTAGAAAAATAAATGTTTACTACTTACATGTTTAATTTGTTTCCATCTTTGTCTCTGTGTAAACACAGGCTGCAGTTTATCTAAAAAAAAAGTCGCAGAATTTTTATCAGATGACTGTTGGTTGCAGCTGCATCACCAATGACTTGACGTTTGCACCGAGGATTGCAGAATTTTTTAGTTTTTTATAAAATGCGATGAATGCAAATAATTTATTTTAGACAATTTTTTCAAAAGAGACATTTCAATTTAAACAAATTTGATGATTTGAAGTTTTCCAGTGGAACGGTGCATCTCAAATGACAATTTCAACGACGCTCAGAACTATAAAAATCACACGATTCTTTGTGTTTTTGCAGTTTCTGGCTCTGATAAATGCGTTTAAGTGTATCTGTAATTTTTTTTATTTTGGTTAACGGTGAACCATCCTCCTGGTGGTGAAGCGACAGGATCCACCCGGCGACGGTGGGACGGCTGTTACACAATGACGAGCACAGACTTGATGAATGTGATGTAAAAAGTGCGAAAAGGCTTCAAAAAAGGAAAAAAAAGAGAGAGAGTTATCGACGCCTGTGTTGTAAAGAATCCTGCATCATGTTCACGGACACGTAAACAAGTCGCGGCTTTAAAGGGGAACCTGATGAATATGAGCGGCCGGGTGTGTGTTTGTTGGCATTGTTGCCGACTGAATGTACTTTATGTATGAAAACAGCCTGGAGTGTGCGAGGCTTTGTGTGTCTGTGTGTGCTCATTATTGACACTTTCCCTTTTCTCTCGTTCTCCCACGCAGGCCTACAGCTCCATCCTGGTTGTCATGGTGATTCTGCTCAACATTGGAGTGGCTATTTTGTTTATCCACTTTTTTATTTGAAGACAGCACTGCTTTCAGAGTCGGCCTACCTATGCTACGACAACTATAAAATTCATATGAGTATTAAATCCGCTGCCCCCTTCGTGTTCCCCGGCGAGAGGACTCGGGCCGGGGGAGGGATCCACCGTCACATGGGGCTGACCCAGCTTGGTTCCGGAGATGTGGATGGAGAAAAAGAAAAAAAGGGGGTCCACGTAACTGGACTGCAGGGAGATAAAACAGTCCAGAACCAGGGAGCTCCAGCGGTTCAGACTCGAGTGGGCTGATTCTCAGGTCCACGAGCAGAAAGGACTGATGAGACAGAACTTTTTCATCCTCAGATCATAGTTTTCAACAGATTTGTAACTTATAATTTATTTATTAACATTTTCTCTCATGTACAATTGATGGCTATATTCTTTTTGTTTTGTAACCCCTCCAGCCCTCTTTATAAAACCTCCTGCCTTCTCGGTACCCCTCCGCCCGCCCGCCCGGCTGTTGTTACCGATGGTCGGCTGATGCACACCTCACGCGTCCGTCTCCTTTTCATTGAGTTGTGTAGACGTGGGTTTGTGTTGATTTCTTTTCTCCCTCATCACTCTGTGTGGATGCGTCTCCAAGTAGCTCAGTGGCCTTTCACGCCGTTCATGAACTTTACCGGAGCATCTCATGAGGACACACATCCTACTAGCTTCAGCTGTGCTCTCCCTCCCACTCCATCCACCTCCACACTCAGAGGAAGGAGCTTCCTCTGAGTCGGTGGTTGTTAAAGGCAGATCGTCCTTGGCGAAGCCCTGCGCCTACAACCGAGCCACCGGTGGAATTTAGAGGAACTGCTGCCTCCGATGCGGCTTTAAAGCCGGCGTCTCCAGCTGCTTCTCTCACAACTTAACCCCAAGACCGTGACAACATCGTTTTATACTATACATGCAAGATGTCAGAAAAAATAAATAAAAACACTAGTCGCCAACCTGCCTTGCTTTTGTAGCGGAAAACCGATAAAACAATGCATGCATATGTGCTGTAATATCTTAGTTGTGCGTCGAGTCTGAAAGCAGAAGAAGCTTCAGAAGCACACGTTAGGTTTTGACTGGAGCAGCGTCTGGAGACCAGCCGGTTCGGTATTGATTTGTCAGGGATAAATGACACCAATTAAAGTCCCTGTGTGGAGCTCGTTGATGCAAGGCTGTTGTAGTGTAGCAGTGGCCAGGACTGACCGCCTCCATTCCTTAAAGGTCCCTCATTGTGCCCCGTTTTAGAAAAATAATTAAAAATCTCACATCCCCAGAATTTATATTTTTACATTTTTCAGCACAAAATACCACAAAGGTGGTTAATTTCACCAAAAGTGTGTAACTCTTGGTTTAGTCTTGTTCTGAATGGACTGTTTTAGTGACTATAGCTATAAAAGTCGCTGAGCTGCTGCTGACTCCGCCCCCTTCAGGAAGTAAAACTCATATTGCGCCCCCTTTTTCTTTTAAAGCAAATTAATGAAAATCTCACATGTCCCCAGAATATTTCTTTAAAATTTTCAGCACAAAATACCACAAAGTTGGTTACTTTCCTCATGACTGTGTAACTGGGCTGTTTCAGTACCTGCCGCTGGCCCCGCCCCCTTCAGGAAGAAGACACCCTCCGTGTCCGTGATTGACAGCTTGCAGCCAAAACCGTTGACAACATGGCAGCTGACTGTGAGAACAGAACTTTCTATTGCTTCTAACTTTCCACCTAAGGGATCATTTTATACGATAGTATTGCCAAATTCACACACAGACGTTGTTTTTAACTCTGTTTCTAACATCGGGTGTGAATTTTTAAGTTTTACAGTTTGAATACTTCATATTTTTAAACATAGTGTATTGTAAGTATCGAATTATGACATTAATACACATATACGTATTTTTCTGACTTTTAGAAGACGTAATTAGTTAATCACCACGTTAAAATTCAAACTAAACTATCAATGCTGAAGGCCTGTTGACAACAACAGGTGGACTGGTTAGTATTTCCAAAGCTGTAAGTGGCTAGCTAACTAGCTAATTCAAAATAACAACAGATAACTAGCTGGAGGCGGGGGTGAGATAGCTGTACAAGTTTCTGACTTACATAAATAGTTACACAACTTTATTTGTTAAGAATTCAGATGCATTTAAATGCAGTTTACCTGAGCACAGGGAGAGGGAGCGAAGCAAACACATGTAAACACCGACGAAGTTTCGGTTGCACTGAAGCACAACTGGCTACATGACAACACAATAACACACTCAGACCTTGTGGGGTTTTTTTGGCTTCAAATCAGTTTCCTCGTAGCTTCACAGTTTCCAGAAAGCTTCTGACCTTTAGGCAAAAGATCAAAGCTAATGGTTACGTTAGCCAAATTAGCTGTGCAACATGCTAACATGAAGGATTTTGCTTTTGTTGTGGTGGCATTGCCATCAAAAGAAAAATAAAACACTGGATCTTTAGTTCCTCGGATGCTAGGCGAGCATGAAGACGCTCGTGTTCACTCTTGCAGCAGAACATCTAGTGAACTTTATTTGTTCTTGAGGCATTTTAGAGTTAGTAGAAGTAGCTCTAGGAGGTAAATAAACGTGGTGGACTAAAAGGGAGGCTGCTCCTTCTGAATGGTTCACCTGGAATAGACAGCCAAGTTTAAACTAGACCACCATTGGTTCCTCAGTTTCTACTTAAAAGCCAGATAAAATTCTGACTGGCTTGTAAAACTGTGTAGATGAGGGGTCCATTGTCATATTCTAACAGCTTTTATTTTACACCTTTAACTTTATAGAACGTACAAAACACACTCAAACGGGGTTTCCACAATATGGGACCTTTAAGTTTTCCTCCAAGACTCTCGTTGACGGACTGAGGTACAGTCACAGGTACCCGTCTGCTTCGACTGAAAACACGAAAGCGTTTTTTTTTTCCGTCCCTCAAACCCATCTGGCAGCTTCTGTGTTTGTTTGCATGTGTGCACTTGAATGCTCATCAGGGTGTGTGAACATGTGTGTGCATCCTCCTCCGTCCACGTGATGGGATGGCGGGATGGCTGAGCCCGTTGCCATCGGTAACAACTTCCAGGGTGGCGGTGGCGATGGTGGCGGTGGCGGAGGGGCGGCCAAGGAGGTTTGCTGCTGTTTTTTCTGTCCGACAGCGTTTCTCAAACTACAGATTGGAACTCAAACTCGGCTGTAGGCTCATTTCTGGTGTCCCCTCCCACCCCCAGACATTACTACGACAGCTCGGTCTAATGTGCCTGCACCCCGAGAGGCAGAACAATAGATTTTTTTTAATTTCATTTCGGGTCCCAGACAGGTTTAAGAGGCTCTGCTGTTCGCCATCAGCCTGGTGACGATGCCCTGCGCCACCCTGTTAGTCCGCAGCATGCTACAGCATGCCAAGCTCTCTATAGTTTGACTCTCCTCTTTCTTTCTTTCTTTCTTTCTTTCTTTCTTTCTTTCTTTCTTTCTTTCTTTCTTTCTTTTTTCTGGGAATTACTCTGTTTTTGTTTTTCAGTTGTGTGGAGAAAATAATGAAAGTGTTTGAAAGAAAAAACCCAAACCGCCTCGTTGTGTTTTCATTCTTTCTTGTGTTTTCGTACTTTGAGTGTGCAGTTTTTTTTGCAGCATCCATCCCTGATGCAGAGAGAGAGAGAGAGGGAGTGGTACAGGCCTGGCTGGGAGGGAGGGGTGTGGTTTCTATAGCAACCTTAACTGAATTTTCCTCCGTCAGCAGAGGGGCGGGGCCTGTGTTGGTGGGGGCGGGGCTTACCTCTAGAGACCGGTGTTGTCAATGAGAGGGGCGGATGGAGGGAAGGGAAGAAGAAAGAAGAGAAGAACAAGACAGAAAGACGAAGCGAGGAGAAGCCGACACCTTCTGCCGTGTACGTCTGAGTTTAATCAACGTTTTCTAATCGTTTTTAGTGCCTGTGTCTGTTTTAAATCATCTGTGAGGAGGAAAGTATCAGGATGGATGCAACAGCACATCCATCAGAAGCTGCAGCAGGTTTCAACATGGACATGTGGCGCCACCTTCTGGATCTAGGTACAAACTACAGCAAGCCCTTCAATAGGACACTGAGGCTTCAACTTTGAGTTTATGTAAGTGGAAACGGGCGACGAATTCATGGAAAAACCAACATAAAGTGTCTTATTAAAGTGTTGGGCCACCAATGCACCTCAGCATTGATTCTTCAAGTCTCTACCTGAAGGATGAACACCATTCTTCCAAAACATATTCTCTCCCTTGGTGTTCTGATGATAGTGGTGGAGAGGATGCCATTTACATAAGCATAGATGAGTGACAAATTAAAGGAAGAACCAACATAAAGTGTCTTAGTAAGATGATGGACCTCCAGAGCAGTTCCAGCGCTCCTTGGCATCGATTCTCCAATTTCCTGGATGTTTACTGAAAGGACGAACGCCATTCTTCCCAAAAAACATTCCATAATTTGGTGTTTGGTGATGGTGGTAGAGAACGCAATTTACATAAGCATAGCCAGGTGACAAATTAAAGGAAAAACCAGCATAAAGTGTCTTTGTAAGATGTTGGATCTCCAATACAGCTTCAGTGCACTTTGGCATTGACTCTCCAATTTTCTGGATGTCTACTGGAAGGACGAATATCATTCTTCCAAAAAATATTCCATAATTTGGTTTCGATGATGGCAGTAGACAGCGCAGTTTACATAGACAGGTGACATGTTCATGGAAAAACCCACAAAAAGTGTCTCGGTAAGATGTTGGACCACCAGAGCAGCTTCAGGGCTCCTTGGCATCTATTCTCCAATTTTTTTTTTTGATCTCTACTGGAAGGATGAACACCGTTCTTCCAAAACATATTCCCTCATTTGGTGTTTTGATGATGGTTGCGGAGAATGTAGTTTACATAGACGGGTGACGAATTCATGGAAAAACCAAAAGTGTCTTAGTAAGATGTTAGACCACCACAGCAGCCTCAGTGCTCCTTGGCATCGCTTCTTCGAGTCTTTGGATCTCTGCTGGAAAGTTGAACACTGTTCTTCCCACACATATTCCATAATTTGGCATTTTGATGACGGCAATGGACAACATAGTTACGCCGATGACACCCCGTTGTATGTCTCATTTAGTCCTGACGATCACAACAAATTTGAAAACTCCACAACTATGTCTAGCTGTCATTAAGGACCAGACGACGTTTTAATTTCACTTATTAGGCTGAAGTCCCAGAAAAAACACATCAGTCCAGAATCTTCCATCTTTAGTTGGGTTGAGATCTGGTGACGACAAAGGCAGTAGCAGTTTTTAACAATATTTTAAAAAACAATTTACTGTTATTTTACAGATTTTCCTTTTTATTAAATTACAAATGATAATTACAAAATTAATAATACATTTTCAAAAAGCATTAATGTACACATTAATTGCAAAAAAAAGCTAAAACTGTTTTTAATGTCCACATAAAAAAAATCAAGTAGTTTATTATTTTTTGAATTTATTTATTTTTTAAAAAACATTCAACTGTTCTACTACTTCAGTCAGCTAAAATGTATCATTTACTGGTATTATCACTTTTTTCCCCCAGTTTTTGAAGAGTTTTCTGGGTCCCTTGCTGCCAGATTTGACCTTAGTTATTTTTTAAAACATTTAACTGTTCTACTACTTCAGTCAGCTAAAATGTATCATTTACTGTTATTATCACTTTTTTCCCCCAGTTTTTGAAGAGTTTTCTGGGTCCCTTGCTGCCAGATTTGACCTTTTAATTAATTTCTTTTTTTTACCCCCCACCCTTCTTTGGACAGTGTAGGATAAAAGTGGTCTCTCAGAGCTAATGTGTGCTGATTTGCAGTTCCCCTTTCTTTTTTGGGCCAGTAAAACAGCCACCAAAGCATAACAGAGCCACTGGATTGCTTCACTTTAGGGGTCAAGAGTTTAAGTTTTTCCTTTAATTTGTCACCTGACTGTAAATTCCCCTGTAATTTGCGTATGATGTGCTTTTTTTTTTTTTTTCCCCACAAAACTGATCCAGTTAGAAATTCTTTAAGTGATGCCTGCATCCCCTCCCTCACTGAAACCCCCAGATTCTGCACATTATGCAGCAATTTTTCCATTTCAAAAGGTGAATTATTGGATAGGAGATGTCTCTGTTCAGAGTGTTTGGACATGTTTCCACATCTTGTTTAAGTTGGATCAGCTTTCAGAGTAGTTTTGACGTCACAAATCCTGTTTGCAGGTACACACCTTGAATTTCAAAGCAGACTTTCAGGGTCAAACTCTGAACATGCATCACTTTGCACATTGAAACTCAATCATCCGAAACAAGAAACGGTCACCAGAACACTTGAGTGTCACGAACGCATTACGAACTTTATCAAAAGACAGATGGGATTGACTTCAGTAAAACTTGCTTTAAATACACTGATGAAGACCTGTGTTAGTGAGGTAGTTATATATAGAGAGTATTATATCTAATATTAAAGGGTCTTAGCCTTCATTCTGAAACTTTTTAGGCAAATCTGCAACTTTACTCTTGTGTCTCTTTTTGAAAACACTTTTGCTCAACTTATGTTGTTTTAAAGGTGCTGTATAAATAACATTAATCTTTTAAAATTAAAATAAAAACTACCTGTGCTAACTCATGTTTTCACCTTACAGTCAAAACTGTACTCCTATAGACTCACATCAGGCCTTGATACGCGTCCTTGTGCCTTTATAGTTGACTTTTGCTGACTCGTGTACACAAAAATCAGTATTTCCTAATTATTTTAGTGTCTTTAGTATTAATTGTATGATATAAATAACCCTAATCATTTTAAATAAAAGACAAAACACCTTTAGTTGTAGACAAAAACAGAGGTTTGCCAAAAATTGTCCCACTTTACCTGAATTTACTTCATTAATATGAGTATAATACACATTTTTCTTGTGTGGAATAATCACTGCTGCATGACATGAAAGTATATTAACACATATTTTCACTTTATAGGCAAAAGCTTACTTCTGTAAGCTCATATTACTCATTAGTGCTCATCCTTGTGCTTTTATAGTGGACTTTCTTACTCATGGTAAACTAAACACTCACCATACCTTGTTTATTTCAGTATCTTTAAGTGTTTTTTAAGTTTATTTCCACATAAGCGACCCAAAACTGAAAAATAAAGATTAAAAATTAGTCAGGAATGAAAACAAAAACTTTCACAACGATGAGACTGACAGAAAAGCATCGTCTGACTGTGTATCTGGCGCTTTAAAGGCCCAATAACGGAGCTCAGATATGTATGAACGCATGAGAAAAAGATGTGGAATAGAGGGGCAGCGGATATCCCTCTGAGCCAATCACAGCAGGGCCCCAGATGACTGACGGACGCGACAGCCAATCATCGCACAGCATTCTTTATGGTGGGCTTGTCTTGTTGCCAGAGTTGGATAATGTTAAACACAGCTGTTTTTTCTTGGTTTGGAGACTCATGGCAGAACACAGGGAACCAGCGGCGACGTTTTTCACTGAATTCACTCACGGACACTGAACAGAACCGTCAGTGTCGCCGGTGACTTTCCTCCAGCAGCAGCGTTTCGTGAAGGAACGTCTCGGAAATGTTTTGACGTGGTTTCCAGCAGCAGGAGCTCCGGACTGCACTTAGTTTTTAAACTTCAAACCTCCGGCGCAGTCTCGGCTTGTGCAGGCAGCTTCCTCGGACAAGTTGCGGGGGAACCATGAGGACGGCGGGGCGGCTCTGCGGGACGCTGTTACCGAGCCGAGCGGGACCAGAGAGCGAGGCGGCTCCGACGCGCAAACTCTCCGGATGATTCCCGGCGGTGTGCTCTGATCCTGCGTCTTTTCCCCAACAGTGTGCCCTCAGGCGGTTTCTGCGGTCCGAACCGCGGAGGGACTCCCCCGGCTGCCGAGCTTGAACGCGAACCAGGAGCGTTTTGGCTGCACATGAAGCGACTTTTAGGTGAGATTATGGTTCGGATGGGCCTCCAGTCCGCCGTTGCTGCTCCTCCAACAAAGGAAACGACTGTTGCTTCTTTCACTTCGCTGCTGTGGACGCAAACACCGAAGTAAAAAAAAAAACAGCGAGTTGAGTGAAAGTTGACAAATTTACTTTTATTTTTTTTGCGCAATTACGCGCGAACTTTACGCGCACGGTGCCTTTTGTGTCAAGTTGTGTCTCCCAGCTGAACGTCTGGTCCTTTACCTGCACTGTGTAGTTTAGGTGAGAGCAGCTCAGGTAGGGTGTGGGTGGATGTGTGAGGATGGTGGAGAGCCGGAGCTGCGTCCAGAGGGAGGGGGTGTACCGCTGGTTCTCCTCCCTCACCTCAGCCCAGAGAGCGGAGTTCCTGTGCGGCCTGCTGGACCTCTGCGTCCCCATCGAGCTGCGCTTCCTGGGCTCCTGCCTGGAGGACTTGGCCCGCAAGGACTACCACTCTCTGCGGGATGCGGAGATCAAAGCCAACAACCCCGCGGACCTGTCGGGCCTCACCAACATCACGGACGAGGTGGTGCGCAGCAAACTGCTCGTGTCGCTCGCCCTGCTCGGCTCGGACAACCGGGAGGCGGCCGGGGTCCTGTACCGGACCCTGACCCACATAGACACGGTGATCAATAACTACGGCTTGGCGCTGAACGACGGCAGGACGGAGGAGCAGTTCCTGCTGCTGTTCACCATGGCCTCCAACCACCCGGCCTTCAGCTTCCACCAGAAGCAGGTGCTGCGGCAGCAGCTGAGCCAGATCCAGGACATCCTGCAGGTGAGGAAGGTGACCGTGGAGAGGGGACAGATTAGAGGAACATCCTGACCTCTGACCCCCACAGAGGGACTCTGTGGTGACATGTTGCTGGTCTGGATGTTTCCTTAGAAGTGCCACTGATAATCAATAATAGTTGTTCTATCCATAAGACAGGAGGGGTCACTACATGGTTTAGTAAGCATCAAAAAGACTTTATTTAACATTAATTTTGCTAGCTGGTCTTTTGTGATTTACCAGAAAAAGGGGGGTTGTTCTAAAAAGTTAAAAAAAAAAACTGTTAAGAAAACAGATTTTTTTTTAGAGTGATGATGATTTTATTATTATTATTTTTGTTATCACTGAGAGGTCAGTGTCCTACTTAAACTATCTAATATCTGATTAGAATACCTATAAAAACCACAATAAAACAGTAAAAAAAGGCCTAAAATATTACACCAAAGTCTGTACAGGTTGGTTTTGAAAAGCTTTTTCAACCTGAGCTGTTGGAGCTGAAACAATAAAACATGGTTTCCTTTGTTTTAAACCTGGACTCTGAGATATTTAACATTAATAATTCTCTAAATTGAGGCGTCACGGTGCAGAATAAGGAGTTAAAAGTTGTGAGCTGAAGAGCAGAGACCATGTAGAGATGTAAAATTAATCAAGAGCATCCTAAATTGTATGAACTGAATCGTTTAAGCCATGTGTTGATCACTTTAATCACTCATTAGCTTGATAAATGGTGCATTTTCACTCCTGCTCAGGCTGTTGTTGTTGAATGTGTGGGGTCGGTGAGGGTTGGGCATCTGAGAGTAGTAAATGTTTGTCAGACTTACTGTGTTTATCGGTGAAAGGAGGCAGTTTCTCATATTCAGTGGGTGTTTTGTTATCAGAAACTTCCACTATTGTGTGTTTGTGCAGAAAGCAACCGTCTGGAATCACGTTGAACCTTCAGTTTTACAGAGAAACGAAGGTAAACATCGTTTGGTGACTCTCCTGTGGTGATCGTTGTACATTTATAAGCTTACAGAGTTGAAACCACCGACTGGCAGCTGGTTTCCACAAAATAATCCATCCAGGACGGAAACTAAATGCGCTGAAAGTACAGCGTCATGAGATGCAGCGTCTTATTTTGAAGGGCGTCCTACGAGCAATATAACAAAACACAGCTTTATATGAGAAAACATTACAGATACACTCATACAGGATGCTCACACAGCTTGATTTGCAATTATTATAACAACTACGGAACTAAAAACTGAAAGTACACGTAGAGTAAAAGAGTGAACAGGTTGTGTTGGGATGAGTTTTGAATGATCTGTAAACATGCAGGTATATAATGAGGGTTTGGATGAGTTGTTCAGCTGAGTTTTTGGGACGCATCTCGTCAATATTTCAGATTTGTAAATAACAAGACTGAACCGGAGTCTTCATTTTGCACAATAGCTTTATTCTGATCTGTGGTCAGTTGGACGGAACTAGAAGCCAGAATGACGGAAAAACAGTGATGTAGAGAATCCAGGTTTTCAGGATTTTTTTAGAGCTAAATGAGAAATACAAGTCATCAAAACACCAAAAAGGATAAAACTTTATTAATCCAGAGAAAATCCAGGTGTAAGATATTGTGCAAAAACCCCCCAAATGACCTAATGTGAGAAATGTGCGGCTAAAAATTAGAAAAGCAATAAAATATAAGTTCGAAACATTGTTAAAATAGCAATAAATAAGTTAAAACAAGGCGAGAATAGTAAAAAGTAACGCTAGCAAGTACGCTAAAGTAGTAAAATCACACCTGATGATGAAATATTGCTCATTTTATTGACAATTTTGTGCATAAAAGTGAAATATAATGAGAGTATAAAACTTTTCTGGCAACACATGGTGGTTAAAACACCTTTATAAGACACGTTTAATAGGTTTGTCCTTTAATTTGTCGCTCACAACATCCTCCAGGTTGTTTCCCCAGTGAGTAAATCTTCTAGCAGGTAGCAAAGCAAGCTAGGCTAACTATCAGCCTGATTATCCGTATTTTTATTAACCAGTTATTGATAAATGAAGTGATGCAGCCTCCTCTCTCTGTCTGTCGTCACTCGGTGGTCTCAGAAATGTCTCCGAAGCAGCAGAAACTGAACAAAAAACACAAACCAGGACGTTAGCTCGTCTCACAGCGGCACAATAATTAATAATATTTTAAGATCTGGAAAATAGTGGACAATAAAAGTGATAGAAGAGTGAAAGATTCATAAAATAGAGAAGACAAACGGATCAGTCTCAGTGGGTCCACATGAACAGAGGAGATCATTTAATCACTCCTGTTTCTGTTTTACATATTCGGTTACAGTCACTGTTGTTAATGAAGAAGTCTAGTTATGAACGACAGGTTCCTGCTATCACATGCTGCTAAAACATTACATTTAATGCATATCGGCTTCAAATATCGATCTGATTACCAATAATCAGTATCGGCTCTAAAAAACAACAACAAAACAAAAACAGCCCAAACCTTCATGTATTTCAAACATTTAATTGATCCATGTGGTGCAAAGGATGGTGGATTCTGGGAAAAGCTCAACAGCAGATGGTGCTTTTAAACACAACAATCAGAATCAATTAATCAAACTGAATGTAAATAAAGGGAATAAGTCAAGAAACTTGTGGCCAAACAGGATTTCATTTCTTCAGCACAAACAACTGTAATTTATAATCAGACTAATGAACATGCAGGGTTAGAATCAGATGGAAAAATCCTGCACAAAGAAACCACATGTGGCTGCAGAAAACAGTTGTGGATGTAAATAACAAATACCCGGTAAATGTCATCATGTGAGAGCTGAATGAACAACAGGTGAAGGTTTTCTAATAGAAAGTGTGACGAGGACAGGTGATAAACCAAATTACAGGTGAGACGCAGGCGGATGACAGGCTGCCTGAGAACAAAGCAAACTTCAGTCATCGGTTTACCTGTGAACCAGGTAAATTACATGTTAGTGGGGGGGAGCTGAAAGAAGGAGTTTGTGATTAGAAAACACTGCTTTGGGCACCAAATGTCATGTCTCTGCCTCGTTTTATAGAAATGTGACGCTTATTATTGTGTTATCAGGAGCAAATATTATCAAAAAACGTCAAAATGTACATATTGTTGAACCTAATGTGGATTTATGGTGAATTTTTGTTCAACAAATGTTCTTTTTGTGGCTGGAAGTGACATAAATAAGTGTGTAAGATGTCGGTATGGACTGATATGGGTTTAATTAGGGCCGATACTGACGCCGATAATTGGTAATCAAGAAAGACAGATAGCTGATATTTNGACTGATATGGGTTTAATTAGGGCCGATACTGACGCCGATAATTGGTAATCAAGAAAGACAGATAGCTGATATTTGGGGCCGATATGCATTAAATGTAAAATTTTAACAGCATGTAATAGAAGAAAAGCTGTCATTCATAATGAGGCTTCTTCATGAATAAGGGTGACTAGAACTGAATATGTTAAATAGAAATAGCAGGGATTAAATTAGGATGCTCAACTGAGACTGATCAGTTTATCCGCTGTGATTACGTCTGCTGTTCTTCTCTATTTTATTAATCTTTCTCTGTTTTACCACCTTTATTGAGGTCCAGATCTTAACATATTGTTATTGTTTTCCAGACTCTGTTTCAGGTTAATCTGTGGCTGCCTTCTAATTTAGCTGCTAGCCGTTAGCGTAGCTGTAGCCACTGTGAGAGCAGCTAACGTCCTGGTTTGTGTTTCTTGTTCAGTTTTCTCTGCTTCAGAGACATTTCTGAGACCACAGAGTGACGACAGACAGAGAGAGACAGAGGAGGCTGCATCATTTAATGCATCAATAATCGCTCAATAAAAATGAGGGATGCACGATATTAAAATTTCTGGCCAATACTGATATCCGATATTAAGATTTCTGATATCGCCGATAACCGATATCACCGATATCGATATTAAATTTTTGTTCACAACAAAAAATGAGTATCAGTAAACACTTTGAGAAGGTGAAAACTATTCAAAAGATCCCAAATTAGACCACGTCGTCTTCTTTATTACGTAACAAAAGTAAAATCTATTTAAACATATTTTACGATATTTAATGTTCAAGACCAGGAACATTTAAGTAAAAACATCTGTGACACAGCAGCGATATGAAATGTAGAGATGAAGGTGCTAATGCTAGACAGTCATCGGTTTTTCACATCGTACATCCTTATAAAAATACAGATTATTGGGGAAAAATGCCAAATATCAACCTAGATATTCGATCTATCGCTGGTAAGATGTTTGTAAACTACATGTTTCACCATGAATCTAAATTTCTAGACGTCAAATCCACTAAAGTTCTGAGCACAAACAAAATAAATAACAAACTGAGGATTTGATGCAACAGTAGAACTGATAATTATTAAAACTAACTCATGTGGAAGCTGTTTTCTGTTGTTTTTGTCCAGATAAATAAGCCGATGCAGGATCCCGCCGCTACATCAGCGAGCTGCAGGTTGTCCCGTTTGTCCTCTTTAGCGTCACACTGAGGATGTTTGTTGTTCCAGGCGAGCAGCAGCAGCAGCAGCAGCAGTGGAGGAGGAGGAGGAGGAGGAGGAGGAGGAAGCAGCGAGGTCCAGGCAGCAGCAGCAGCAGCAGCCGGCGGTGATCGAGCTGCCGTCTGCTACGCTCAACCTCATCACGGCTACCAGCACCCGACCGACGTCAGCGCCGCCTACCTGCCCTGCAACGCTCAGTGCAGCTGCTGGAACAAGGTAGGCAGCAGCCGTCCAGCTCCACGGCCAGCTTCAGTCCTGCAGGAAGGGAATGTTTGGGTTGCATGAAAATCAGGATTTCTGCAGTTATTCTCTGCTGACGTGACAGTTTGTGTCTTTGATCATTCTGAAGATTTGTTTGGAGTTTTCATCGCTTGTGTTCGTCACCTAAAAGCTTTCCAGAAGTTAAATCTGAAACTGTGCAGAACTTTTTAAACTCATAAACAAGCAGCAATGTTTTTGTTGTTTTTGTGTTTTGGTGCGATGTTTGATTTTCATGTGTGATTTCACTTCACTGCCTCAGAATCATCGTCCTACTTCCTACTTTTCTGTTCTCGTCTTACTCCAGCGTCCTTGTTTTTATTTTCCATAATGTATTTGCTGCATGTTGAAACGAAACTTTGCCACATTTTAAAAGAAAATTTAAAAAAATTGCTTGTGAATATTTGCAAAATGTAGACGTGAAGCAGTTTTGCATTAAGATGAGATAAAACTTTGATCATCCTGAAGGAAATTCTTTTTTGGTCAGATATTGCTCGGAAAAAAAAACAAAAATGACACAACACAGGAAATGCAGTGCCTAAAAAGTAGAAACGTGAGCGTCCGGATAGCTCAACAGGTTGGACGGGTGACCCATGTACAGGGCTGTAGTCTCCGATGCAGCGGCCGCGGTTCGATTCCCTGAAGTTTGCACCAAAGGGATCAATAAAGTTCTATTCTATTGGCTGCATGTCTCCTCCTCATGTTTCTCTGTCACTCTTTTACTTTCCTTTACATTAAAAGGCAGAAAACCCCCAAAAAATCTTTAAAAAAACAGAAATGCGAAAAGATATAAGTACAAACCATGACTGAAAATACAAATGAGTGGCTAAAATGAGACTAAAATAAAAAATAACAAGTAATATTGGCAATAGGGTGCCACAATAGCTCACCAGTTCGAGCCGGCATCCTCCCACACTGGGCACCAGTCCCGATGTGGAGGTCCTGAGTTCGAATCCGCTCAGGGCTGATAACACTTTAGCAATTTCCCTGAGGTTTTGTACCGAAGGGATCAATAAAGTTTTATTCTATTCTATTGGCTGCATGTCTCCTCCTCATGTTTCTCTGTCACTCTTTTACTTTCCTATACATTAAAAGGCAGAAAACCCCCCAAAAAATGTAAAAAAAAAAAGTAGAAAAGCAACAAGATATAAGTACAAAACATTACTGAAAATACAAATAAGTGGCTGAAATGAGACTACAATAGAAAATAATGATGAATACTGGCTATAATAATAATAATTACGTTAACAAGGTTGCGCATGGAAGTGAAATGTTGCAGGTGTAGTTAAAATATTGCTCCTAAAACTGAACTGTCACACATGAAAGTGAAATTTTGCACAAAACACTGACAATAAATGAACTCCTAAAGAGACTAAAAAGTCCAAAACAACATTGTTCTGTTGAGTTTGCTGCTCTGGTTCACAAATAAAGTGTAGAAAACACACAAACACATGAAGCTCCTGCTCTGACCGGCTGCTCTGGAAAGTCATTTAAATCTCAAGGTGTGATTAGATTCTATCAAAATAACATCAACCGTCCGTTTGTCTTCTCGCTACTGGAAGTTTTGTTTTTTCTGGTCCGACTCATTAGTGGCTGTAATTTACTTTAATTTGCAGTTTTTATGTGACAGAAGAAGAAGAAGCCATAAAGACTTATTGCGTCTTAAATCGTCCACAGCGTCGTGCACTTTGAACATGTCGGAGTTTTAGGATGTTGTTTCAGCTGCTTATATTTACTGAGACGTTGTGCAGCAGCTTCCTGTGAAGTCCTGTTAGTGTGATTTTTATGTTTTATTTTTGTAACCTCAGACAAAACAGTGTTTGGAGAAAAATCACAGAAACAGTTTGAGTTCAGGAGCCGGAGAGCATCAGGCGAACAAACACACATCAGAGCCTCTAAATCGTGTTAACGGGGAGATTATTACCAGAATGACAACCGACACGCTGGTTAGAGTCTGAGTCTAATGATTAAAACCATCATATCTGGTTGGAATAATAACTGACTCAACATTTCTTCCACATTGGTGTAATTCAGCTGTTTGTTTTATTAACCTCTCAACTCACAGAGTTCTAACTAAAGAAGGTTTAGCTCGTAGTTAATCGTACTATAGAGCTTCATA